AAGAAGGAGAACTGTAGCTGCCCGTGACCAGTGAAAATTAAGGGCGCCTAAGAGTTGGGATTGTTGTGGATGCTTAGCCGTGACGGTGGCTACATGCATGCCCTGCGATAGGTAAGGCGATGGAGGGCACAGGACGGCTGTGGAGCTGGAGAGGAAAGGCTGGGTATTCGCGGGGATGTAGAGCTCTGGAGGTTGTTGTGTAGCCAGCGGTCTGGCAAAGGAGAGTCCTCGAGGCGTGGCCTAACGGAGCGCGGTCAGTGGGGAGAGTGGGTGGTGCCTGGCAAAAGTGCTGCGAGAGCGAAAGCTAGGGAGGCCAGGCCCGATGCAGCAGAATCGGGGCCTATCGATATCGATGCCAATCGATAGGTGTGGGATTTGAGAGACATCAATTCTGTGCCATATGGAGAGGATGCTTAATTTTCCTTAGAAGAGGTCAGTAGCCCTATTGGAACAACAAGTATACGCTGTGAAGGGTATTATAACTGAAAGAGATGAGCATATTATAAAGTGAAGAGAGTAAGAAAGGTACAGCAAAAGTGTAGATCTTGTTTAAGAGGTTGGAATACAGAGGCCAATAGACACATCAGGTTACAGTTGCAAAGATTTAAGAGAAACTAGGCAACAGTATAGGATGTTAGGGTTTGTTATTAGAGTCTTTGTCTATATTGGTTTGAGTTTTGTTAAACATGGGATGAGAGGTACTCAGCATAGCAGACAACACATCTTTGTGCTGAAAGTTTTTTGTTTTTTTTTTATGTAACTTAGCGTTAGAATGAAGAAGTAAGATAATTAAGGTTGCTGTTATGTAGTTCAGAAAATAGTTTCCATTGAATGTAGTAAGTGTTTTTCTTCTTGCTAATGTAGGGGTCGTTAGTATTGAACGACTTTTCTCAGGACTAATGACAGGATAGTTAAGTTTCATTGACTGCACTAATGTCCGCAAGTTAACAGAAATAAATTGGGTCATCTAGGACAAACGCCCTAGAATCACGCCGCCACCTTTTGCCAGCAAACACAAGTATCATCAAGAACTCTGATGAGGGAGCTAAGAGCAGAAATGGAAATGTGCAAGCTGAGATGGAGCAACAGGCAGTAGTCCCCTGGGGGAAAAGGGGAAAGGAAAGGCAGTAACGCTGAGATTCTCTTCAAGTGTACTGTGAGTTTCTGACCAAAATGTCAGTTATTTCTGAGATAGGTGCATGGCTGTTAGAGTGACTAAAAACACTTCTGTCAGTTAAAACTTGAGTTGTTATGGAAAAGCAGTAAGTTAATAATCTGTCTCAAGCGGCATCTCTGGCTTTGGGTCTCGGACTCATTTTGGTGTCAGTAGGCAACACTGACCCTCAACATTGAGCATGCTCAATATTGATACACCTTGAGGAGTATCCTTTTCCATACATATTGCTAGGGATCAACATCTATGGATATCTATTCCTGTTAATAGGCATTGATCCCTCTCTCAAGATTGATACCTCTTGATAGTGATCCGTAACAACCACCTTTAATTGTCAAATGCTAACAGATACAGGAACAGCTATAAAGAGGCCTTGGAACTCCAAAAGTAACTGAGAAGAAGAAAGATACCAGAGAAAACCAGTACAAACCTAATTAGTTCATTTAAAAAGTACAAGTCATCTGACTGATAGGTGACTCTCCTGCTTCCTTTCCATCAACTAAGTCAAATCATGATACATAGATGCTGTTAAAGCTACAATGAAGCATTCAGCTTCTCCACATGAGCAGTGGCACTCAGCCATAAGGAAACAATTATTTCTGGTTTTGGGGAGGGAGGGCTAAGTAAATGAATTTGAGGGCTGTAGGTTAAAGGTAGCCATTTAGGATATATTTATAATATATATGAGAAACTGATTTTATATATGAGAAACTGAAAGTTTTCCAAAGTCCAACATTAAGATTTCAAACAATAACTAACAGTAAGATTTTACCCATGATTTCAAATGCACAAGAAATATATTGCATATTGAGTTGAAGCTGTGTATTTGCTAAAGTTTTCTCTTATATCTTATATAGCCACTTGCCCTCAAATACTGTTGTTACGATCTGCCATCTTTAAGGAATAACATGAAAATAATGCAGTGTGGCATATACACACACTTACAAAATATCACCCCCTCTGGAGCAGTCGGTGGTACTGAAATACTGTAAGATGCATTACATTTGAGAATAGTGATTTATCAAAAGTTGAGAGCATTTATTCAGTTAGAGTACTGCAAAAGTGTTTCTCTAGAAACATTCATTAATGCTTTTTATTTTATTTTTAAAAACATAGCTAACAATATAGCATAGGCAGAGAGGAGAAAAGGGGAAAAAAACCCCACCCTGCTGCATGCAGATTATCATCACTTTGAAGTGTCATAACAGAAGCAACCCAACAAAGTGGAGAGCATCAATAATGAGACATTTTATGAGAGCTCCTAAACAACTATTGTTTTTGATGAACTATTTTTTTCTTCTTGAAAGAAGTCCATTTATTTTTGCCAGATCTCCAAATGAAACTGTTGCAGAACCTCTCCGGGCTGGTCTTGCCTATAAGAAGAAGGAAAAAAAAAAACCCATAGGTCTAATTTTTTAAGTTAAAATAATTTGTAAAAAACTTTAAAAGTGTCAGTCATTTAAAACTAACACACTTTCAAACAGAAAGTAGTAATCGAGGAAGTCTGAGCATTTAGCAATAGTTCAGCTTCACATTACCTGTGATTCATGGAATTTCCAGCCTATCATGTAGTATATCTGAAACGTGGCAGGGACTGAGCCATCACTATTTCCATACATTTCTGTTAGGGCAGGGAGGGAGAAAAAAAAGTCACACAGAACATTAGTTCTAAGAACTAAGTAGTTCACAGAACATTAGAACTAAGTATGACATATTCATCATCATAATGACTCTTGGTGAAAAATATGGGACAATAAAAATATCCCATACTGCTCTATCAACATAGTTTATATTCTATCATTATAATTAATGTTAAAAATACCTGTATTAAGTTATTTAGTTCTAGTCTAAAGTGCTTTACATGAAGCTCAAGGGGAAAAAACAACATGGAAAATATGTTCTTCAAGTCATTTCAGGTTAACATGTTACCTGTTAAATACTTAACTTTGTATATTGCTGCAGCTGCCAACATCGTCTCCCTATGTAGCAGAGGTTTTCTATTCCGAGAGCAGTTACTCTCCCCCATACCTAAAAATAGGTTTTAGCTTTAAGAAGAAGAAGATACAGCATATATCATGAGTTAAGTCTCAAGCACTAATGATAGATTTTTATTAAAACCTGAATAGGTATAGAGTCCTCTGAATATCTCACTGGAAGGGAGCCCAACGTACAGCAGATAATTAGGGGAATTTCTCACCTATAACAAAGATTCTCATTAATCACTTTCTGCATCTGAGAGTTTTGTTTTCATTAAGGAACTACCCTAAGCAGCAGCAGCTGATCCAGAACTAGGAGATGCTCTGAATTGCTTCTAAGTACAGCTGAGTTGTATGTGAACAACCACATTACAGTCCATGACAACTGCAGTCATAACACTAACTCAGTTATTAAGTTTCTTCCTTTCCTCAGCAGACTCCAATTTGAGGGTCCAATTATTCTTGTTCAAGACACTGTCCTGGATCTCCTGCCTATGAGTTAGGCAGGCTCACGGCCTAACATAGAGACTAGAAAGTCACTCTGTGGGAAATAGGCTTCTGTCTCTCTTTGCTGGGCTGTTTAGCAGCTCACATAGAACAAGTTTATAAAGAAAAGGAGTACTAGAAAAGCAGAAGATTCACAGCAGACCACAAAGTAGCACATTTTTGACGTTTGCTTCCCAAAACAAATGTTCTGATGGGCATAATCTCCTGACTCACAAGAGATCAGGAAAAAATTAATACCTTAAGAAAAAAAAGGAACTTGGAGGAATAAATTAAAATTAAAAGGAAGGAAGAGGCATCTGTGTTCTCATCTGGGCATTAAGAATGACTGCGTTACGGAGGTATCAATGTGTATACATTTACAAATACACAAGCAGAGAATTCACAAAACTATAATGCATATTGGTTAGCACAAAAGTACTTTGAGATAATAGAAGAATTGCTACAATGAACTTTACCTGGAGTTAAGAAACATGAAATGCTACTGTGTCTGCATCACAGATGCAGAAAATGCTTACATTCCCTAGAAGTATACATACTTGCCTTGCAAGTCTTCCATAACCTCAAACAATCCTGGATAGTTTACTTGAATTTCATCAGTATCCTAGAAGGATTCAAAAGCTTAATTTTAGAGCACATCAAGCTAAAATCATAGCATTATTTTAACTTTCACAGCAGCTACTAGATTATATCCGTCACTTCTATTCAAACTGTCTGTTTTTCCAAAAATAAAACTGCCTCAATATTTTTAAGGAATTTTGTTTAGTAGCCCAAATGCAATCAAATTTTAATTGAAGTGTCATTATTTTTATTTTGGTCTTAGAAGAAGCAGCAAGGATCTACTTTTCCAGTATATGTAACCTTCTCTGACACATTTCTCCAAGAACCACAAACCAAAGATGCCCTTCAGCTGATTTCATTGATTACAGTTAGACTGACAGAGGCAGACCAAGCTAATTCAGAAATTTATTCAGCAAGGTGCACTACATGCAAAGTGAGGCAGCACTGCATTCATAAATATTTCATATCTACTAGCAGCTCTGATGTTCTGGATTGTTTGGATTGTTCTCATATTTGTAATTACCACAGTCAGGGTGTTAAAGCCAGCTCTTGACAGCAGATGCCCCAAGTCCGAGACAGCAGTGAAAGGTGATACGTGAGGAGAAAATCCCCCTTCTCTCTCTAATTCTGCCAGCTGCAAAGAGCAGCGAAGTTCATACAGAGTGTCTCCTCCAAACATTGCACCAATGAATACTCCATCTGGCTTAAGAACTTGATGAATCTGTAATACAGAAGATAGAAACTTTCATAGTTTTTGAATATTAAGCCTATTTAACTAAGAAGTTCTTAGGGCTTCTTTTTTCATCAACTCAAAAGCAATCATTACAACAGTTTTAACAGATTTTTTCTATATGCATATCATATCACTAAATACATTTTTTTTAAATTACATGAACACAAAAATACAATTGAATAAAACTTAGGAATAGGTTAAGACTCAGATCAGTCCAACATTCAGTGATTTTCAAAAGTCAAACCAATTATACAGATACATACAAAAGTGTCATTATTGTGCATGCATGACCCGGAGTACCCAGCCTTTAAAGGCTATATCCGCAAGGCAAGCTTTATGAAAGCTTTTAGTAACATAGTAAGATACCTAATCTGTCAGAAGGGAGACTATTTGTTCTTAAGGACATATTTGCAGAAGTTGCACACTTACAACTAGGAAACACAGAACGTGCAGTTAATCTAGGGCAAAACTATATATATATATATTTTTAATGCAGAGCTCTTAAAACAATATCCTTAATTAGTTTACTTCTGGAAAAAAGGCAGAGTAAGATAGTTTGTGTTTATTTTTACTTTCTTAGATGAGGGAAGCAAAAATACTTTGTGAATGGCTTAAGACAGGTGGAGGCCTCAGTTTATAGTATTGATTTTTGCACTTCTGAATGCACAGTAGAGTAACGCAACTCTTAGTATGTCTACCCCCACATATTTTTGTCTAGACAGAGTAGCAGTACAATCACTCAAACTCCAAGCCCAACAGGACAAGGCTTCTTGTATAAACAGTCCTTTTTCCCTTCCTAGTAAGAACACAAACAAATTCAAAGTTTGTTTTTTGTTAAAAATTGGCAGTGATCCCTTGTTCAGACATCCAGAAGAGCCATATTACATAACGAAGCTTATGAGACAGCAAAAGCTTCAAACACAGTTTGCCTTAGGGACATGAAACATGAGACTCTTTAAAACTGTTTTTTAATTAGGTATTAATCAAGATACCTTTTTCTATGGTAATAAAGAAGCCTTTAATTGGTAGGTAAAAAGAATTAGCAGTTGAAGGAAGCTTTCATTAATTAAAGCCAGTGGTCCTACATTAGGAATTGAGCATTGAAGATGAAGGTGATTCAAGGCCCACAGCTCCCCTTTGCAGGAGAAATTATTTTTATTGCAGGGGTAAACATATTTGACAGGCCATGTAGTAGTCAGTTTCTAAACATAGAATAAAATATTTCCAAGGTTCTTTTTTCTTTTTTTTTCCTAAGTTCTGCAAGAATTCACATTCCCACTTGTATTACTTCATAATGGCTGGGTACTACTGTCCCTACCAACAGGAGATAGGATAGCATGCAATGATTGACATATCTGAAATCATGGAAGAAAAGATCAAACTGGGTAAGACATTCCGTCCTCCTGCTCCAAAGTTAGCTGATTAGCAAAAAATCCACCTACAGGAAGGAGCTGAAACAATCTGAAATCAAAAGTTTTCATAACATTTGCAGTTTTCCCTCCCTGCAAAATACTTGCTTCATTTAAGAATCAAAAAGCCTTTAATTTGTTTCAGTTAAGATGACTCTGGTGGAAGTTGTATTTCAAAATAAACAGTTGGAACATAGAAATCATGCAAATTGCAAAAACTAGTTTTGGACCAGTTTGATTTTGAAAATGCTAGTACAACAACTAGTGCAACACAAAAATCAACAGCGTTACTGCAGGTTACACTAGTTTCCATGATCTCACCTATTGAGACTGTAAGATATTAAACAAATGTATTTTTTCTTTCTTATTTATTCCAAAATAATTAGAGAGAGTAAATTAATATAAATATTCCTCAAGTGATATTACTTAAACTTCTGGAAATATTAAAAAAAAATACTTGTGTGTAACATGAGTTAGTTATGTGCCTCTTATTCATACAAGTTCAGGAAATATACAGAGCTCTGAATGCAAGTCATGGTAAATGTTGATATTTAGTATCAAAAAACAGTTTCTTACCTCTCTAAAAGCTCTAGGAAGGTCATTCACCCAATGTAAACTGAAATACCAAAAGTGTACATTTTATATGACATTATATATTAAATAAAACTTGGGGAAAGCCAAACATCTGTTACATCATCTAAGTGTGTTTCAGCAGCCAAAGCAACAAACAAGCTTCTCAGGTTGCAAAAGTTCTGAAATGCCTGCATAAAAGTGCAACGATAGCCAATAAAGTCTAAAATTTATACAAATAGCTAAGTTTTTTTTTAAAAAAGCAACAAGATGCAATTCCTGGAGACCAATAAGTCAAAACACAGGAAAAAGAGAACTTATGTGCGTCTTCAAGAGAAAAATGACCCAGTAAGAACCACCAGTACAGGACTTCTTCCTGACGTATACTTATGACTTTGCAAGTGCATTTTGTACAGCAGTACTTACTGCTGTTTAAGGGACTATTTCTCTTCCCTTTTTTTTTTTTTTTTGAAGTTACTCTGAAAAGCGCATTATTTAAAATCTTCATTCAAAAAATAAAGTGTAAATAAATGAAAAATGCATACCTTAAGCTGCTAACAACAAGGTCAAATGTATCTTCTTTAAAGGGAAGGAATTCCTCATCAGCTACAACAGTGACTGTAGGGATTTCAGTTTCCATAGCATTTTTCTAATGTTGGGTTAGAATAAAAACATTAGAAACTTGCTTCTTTTGCTTTTCTGTATTGTGCAATTGAAACATGACAAGTAGTACTCAGACAGCTACTTACTAGAGCATTCTCTGCAATATCTACTTGAACAAGTTTTTCAACAGTTTCCTGAAATGAAATAAGAAAGTCTGTCAAACATTTAAGTTGTTTTATGAACCAGTATTAGTCATCTTTTGGAACACTTACATATATTTAAGATAAGCTAGAAAGAATCTCATAACGCATGCTAAAAGTGAGTACATAAAGCAGAAGGCATTTTTCCCCTAAAATATTACTTGGCAATTTCTCTTTAGAGAATAGTTGGAGTGAAAATAGTAATAGAAAACACAGTCTGCATTTTTTAGGGATGAGTTCAACTTGATATAAACTGTGCATTAACAACCAATGAAGTACCTTTATTCATAGGACAGTTCTTGAAGAGCAAGTTTACCACTTCAAAATCTCCACAATGATATTTCTCACTAACAACTTATGGAGAGCAACAAAGACTAATCAAAAAGCATGCATCTTCCAGATCAAGACTGGCGGTTATCTATCATGCAACAGATGCCTTCACTTGCACTACTGTTTTTCTTAATTGTTTAATATTCAGGGATATAAATTATTTTAAGGTAACAGATTCTGCACAGCACATCTTTGGACTGTACCTACAGATATGAGAAAGAACAAACTACTTCATCAACACTCAGAGGATTGTTTTAAGTTATAACAGTATCCTATTTGAAAGCACACGCTTATGTTAAACAACCCCAAAGTACCAAGAGACAGTACCTTAGTTAAATGTTGAGCTATGTAACCTCTTCCAGAGCCAATATCCAAAGCAAGAGGAAATGCTCTAGAAGATAGATTTTGTTTCATTAAAAAAAAAAACCCTCAAACTATTTTAAGCTTTGAAGTATGTTAAGTTTTGTCTGATAACTTTGTCTGATAATCTTTCCTAACTAAACACAGGATCGCCACTGAGCATCCTTCTATGAAGTACTGCCACGATAAAGCACACGGAGCGGTGATCGCAAAGGCAGGTAGGTGCCTTTTAAAAAAGGCCAGGCCCGCTGGGGGTGGGAGGCCAAGGGCGCTGTCCCCCGCCCTACCGCGCAGCGGGACTGCGACTCACCTGGTGATGTCGAACACCCTGTCCGCTATTCTGCCGCCGACCTGCGGGGAA